GCAAGACAGGAGTATATTGAACACTTGCCTTGAAGTTACTATGAACGTGAATATCAGAGGACCAAACTGAGATATTGTGTAATAGATGAACAACTGACCGACTGCAGAGCAAATGGAGAGAATGACAGCATGAGCAGCAAATAAAGGATGAGACAGAAAGAACTCTAAAGACGTGAATAAAGTTCCTGCCGTGGTGAGAGACACTAGTGCCAGTAGACTCGAGAATATATTTATGGAAGTGTCTAGAGCTCCGGTAACCGGACACAGTATGCAGTGCTAGAGCTCCGGTAATAGGGGCGTCGCCCCTATATATACTGGGGCTACGCCCCAGTATTAATAATACACTGATTTATATTATAAAAACCGAGTATAAATACAACAACCAGCGTTGATGATGCAGCAGGGTCGTGGTGGTGCAGTGGAGAGGCTGGTGTGGATTGCACGGATATGGTCAGGGGTTCGAATCCGGTCAGGACTACCGAGTAAAACTATGCTGCAGTTTTTGATTTTTTTTTTCTTTTTCAAAAATATCTTTTTTGCAATTTTTTTCTTTTTGGCTTTTTTTGGGGTCAAGAAATAGCACCCTCTCGTACATCTTAGCCTCCGGGGTCGTAGGGTTGGGATTGGGGTTTAGTTTTTAGAGCACCCTCTCGTACATCTTAGCCTCCGGGGTCGTAGGGTTGGGATTGGGGTTTAGTGTTTAGTTTTTAGAGCACCCTCTCGTACATCTTAGCCTCCGGGATCGTAGGGTTTTGGGGTTAGGGTTTAGTGTTTCTTGATAAAAAGACCAAGTTCCATTTTGCACTATTGCGCATGCGCACAAGCTGTTTTACGGAGAAAAACGGACTGCCGGAGCTCTAGCATTGCAAACTACGTCCGGTTACCGCTCCCACATCCCAATAACGTAAACTACTAGTTAACTGCTCGGTTCTGCTGTTTGTACTTGCAGATAATGCCAGAGAATTTTTGGGGTAATCCAAGATATTTTCTCCCTTTTCTGCAGCAGTCACCCCCCTATCAGCCTCTAATTTCCCTGCAGATATACCATGGATTTGCTCCAATCCAAATGATCTGTCCTCATTGTCGGAATCAACTGATGACAAACGTGTCTTATAATCAGTATATTTTATTGGTTTTTCTTATTATTGGTGTTATTTTGTTTAAATTTGACTTCCTGGGATGTCTGAGTATGCTTCTCTTCATCTTGGCTCTTTTGATAAGTGGATTCAAAGCAATCATTCATATTTGTCCAGTTAACGCAGACTATTAATTTTTATATTGTACCTGTATTAATTAAATGCTTGTTGCTGACTTGCTGTTTGCAGAAAAGTTGTGTTTTATATTTACCACTATGATATTATATATTTTTATCCCATGCTTTTTCAATCCCACCAATTGGAGGCATTCTCTACTGCGCATGCGCTTTCTGGACGAAGCCCCACCTACCTGTCAATGAAGATATCTCTCGAGCTATCTAATCTATCAGGCAGCACACAAAACTTGTAAAGGTTATGTCTGACTCTGACAAGGAGCCTCTTCTTCAGCAGCCATCAACTGCTCCTCCTCCCCAGTACGACTATCAGCCTCCTCCACAACAGCAGCAGGCAGGAGGTTATAGCGGTACTCCACAGTATCCCCAACCTGCTTACCCCCCACCGCCCCAGCCTGGTTATCCACCTCCCCAAGCCCCTCCATACCCTCAGGCTGGCTACCAACCTCACCCTCACGTGTACCAGCCACCTCATACAGTCGCTATGGGGACTCAGGCCATGTACTTTGGCTCTTCTCCAATTCAAATGGTTTGCCCTCACTGTCAGACTCAAATGATGACAAATGTATCTTATGAGGCTGGTACCATGACCTGGCTTGCTGTTGGGTTCTTTTTCATACTTGGTTTCTTTGTGCTTATCAGTTGGTGTCTCTGCTGGTTGCCTCTTATGATGGATGGGCTTAAAGATATAGTCCACACTTGCCCCAACTGCAATCATGTTGTAGGCACTAATAGGAGGATG